CCGCCTGTCACGAGCGTCCACCGCGCCAGTCTCGCTCGCATGTCACGAGCGTCCACCGCGCCAGTCTCGCTCGCGGGCGGTTTCCGCCTGTCACGAGCGTCCACCGCGCCAGTCTCGCTCGCGGGCGGTTCCTGGAAATGGCTGCTGTGGCTGATAAGGAATCGCCCTCATCAGTCCCTCCAACGCTCTTGGCCTTCAACTCCAACCACTGGCTTTGCTGGCTTCATAGGTGTGGCTGTGGCTGGTGTCTTCATAGCTGGTGGCCTTGTTGAGCTCCCACTCATCATCATCATCATCATCAAGTGCCTTCCTGCAAGCAATTGTCCCTTTCTGGATCCTCCTCATCAGCTCCTGCAATCCACACTCTTATTGAAAGGCACCCAGCTTGACTCCTTCCTCTCCCCAGAAGTCTTTGACAAGGCCACCAGCTCCTTCATGTAGTGGCTGCACCCCTTCAAGGTCCCACCATTCTTGAGGAAGGCCCCCAGCAGCTTCTTCTTGCCAGGCCCTTGCACTGCGCATGGCATCAGCTTCTGGGTTCTTCAAGGAGCCCCTGGCATGAGCAAATCTCTGCCAAAGTGCCTCCCTCTGGTCCGGACAGGCTCTTCTGGAAAAGCTCAATCTTTGCCTCCAGGGACATGCCTTCCTCTTTGGGGGGATCAAAAGGTAGAGAGGCAAGGTTTGCATCCTTCTTGACATCGGGGCACTCTTCTTCATCACCTTCTTGGCCATTGCCAGCCAGATTGAAAATGCAAACACTCTGAACAATGGCTCTCACAAACTGGGCTGAACCGTTTCTATCCTGAGCATTGTCCTCAAATTGTCTTTTTCCATGGCAGTGTAATTCCCAGAAAGAAATTGGAAAGTTTTCTGGGCAACATACTGCCAACTGGGCTGGTACATGTCAAACTCAGGGCTGTAGAGGAAGAAGGACAGCCAGCCAGCTGAATGCTGCCACACCAGCACATCATCTGCTCTAAACTCAGCCACAACTCCAGTCATTGCTGACAGTGGCTTTTGAGCCCGCTTGGCTGCGCCACGCTTTGTTGGGTCACACCAAACATGGAGGGCAGCACTTGCGCAGTGTCGCCCCTGCACCCTTATATGTACGTATAGCTGGAACACCTGACTGAAACGCGCAAACCAATAAGGCTTATTGAAGCGCGCAAACCAATAAGGCTTATTCAAACGCACAAACCAATAAGGCTATTGAAACACAAACCAATCAGGCTTATTGAAACAAACCAATAATCATTGCGCTTCAGAAATGCAACACATTTCAATAAAAACGCTGTTTCAATAATGACATCACAAATCAATAAAATTATTGAATCTTTTCAATAAGGCGGAGTCTGGGTTTCCGCATGTCACGAGCGTCCCCCGCGCCAGTCTCGCTCGGGGGTGGTTTCCGCATGTCACAAGCGTCCACCGCGCCAGTCTCGCTCGAGGGCGGTTTCCGCATGTCACGAGCGTCCACCGCGCCTGTCTCGCTCGCGGGCGGTTTCCGCATGTCACGAGCGTCCACCGCGCCAGTCTCGCTCGCGGGCGGTTTCCGCATGTCACGAGCGCCCACCGCGTCTCGCTCGCGGGCGGTTTCCGCATGTCACGAGCGTCCACCGCGCCAGTCTCGCTCACTCGCTCGCGGGCGGTTTCCGCATGTCACGAGCGTCCACCGCGCCAGTCTCGCCCACGGGCGGTTTCCGCAATGTCACAAGCGTCCACCGCGCCAGTCTCGCTCGCGGGCGGTTTCCGCATGTCACGAGCGTCCACCACGCCAGTCTCGCTCGCGGGCGGTTTCCGCATGTCACGAGCGTCCACCGCGCCAGTCTCGCTCGCGCGGTTTCCGCATGTCACGAGCGTCCACCGCGCAAGTCTTGCTTGCGGGCGGTTTGCGCATGTCACGAGCGTCCACCGCGCCAGTCTCGCTTGCGGGGGTTTTCCGCATGTCACGAGCGTCCACCGCGCCAGTCTCGCTCGCGGGCGGTTTCCGCACGTCACGAGCGTCCACCGCGCCAGTCTCGCTCGCGGGCGGTTTCCGCCTGTCAGGAGCGTCCACCGCGCCAGTCTCGCTCGCGGGCGGTTTCCGCATGTGAGTTGTGTCTACCCGCCACGTCTCGCTCGCGGGCGGTATTGTCACGAGCGTCCAACACGAGCGTCCACCGCGCCAGTCTCGCTCGCGCGCGGTTTCCGCATGTCACGAGCGTCCACCGCGCCAGTCTCGCGCGCGGGCGGTTTCCGCATGTCACGAGCGTCCACCGCGCCAGTCTCGCTCGCGGGCGGTTTTCGCATGTCACGAGCGTCCACCGCGCCAGTCTCGCTCGCGGGCGGTTTCCGCATGTCACGAGCGTCCACCGCGCCAGTCTCGCTCGCAGGCGGTTTCCGCATGTCACGAGCGTCCGCCGCGCCAGTCTCGCTCGCGGGCGGTTTCCGCATGTCACGAGCGTCCACCTCGCCAGTCTCGCTCGCGGGCGGTTTCCGCATGTCAAGAGCGTCCACCGCGCCAGTCTCGGTTCGGGGGCGGTTTCCGCATGTCACAAGCGTCCCCCGCGCCAGTCTTGCTCGCGGGCGGTTTCCGCATGTCACGAGCGTCCACCGCGCCAGTCTCGCTCGTGGGCGGTTTCCGCATGTCACGAGCGTCCACCGCGCCGGTCTCGCTCGCGGGCGGTTTCCGCATGTCACGAGCGTCCACCGCGCCAGTCTCGCTCGCGAGCGGTTTCCACATGTCACGAGCGTCCACCGCGCCAGCCCGGGCGGCTTCCGCATGTCACGAGCGTCCACCGCGCCAGTCTCGGCTCGGGGGCGGTTTCCGCATGTCACGAGCGTCCACCGCGCCAGTCTCGCTCGCGGGCGGTTTCCGCGTGTCACGAGCGTCCACCGCGCCAGTCTCGCTCGCGGGCGGTTTCCGCATGTCACGAGCGTCCACCGCGCCAGTGTGTGTGTGTGTGTGTGTGTGTGTGTGTGTGTGTGTGTGTGTGTGTGTGTGTGTGTGTGTGTGTGTGT